TCTCTTCTTCGAAGAAGAAGCAAGGACGATGACGCGCCGAAAAAGTGAAAGATAAACAGAAAAATGGAGAATATCAGAGAAATAGAGAAAGAGAGAAGGATAAAGAGAGGAGGATAAAGAGAGAGCGGTCACCCTCTTTGCCCTCCTCTGCCAATTCGTCGGTCCTCCCGACTCTAGTATTTCGATCGCGACCACCCGTAGGACGCTGTCGACTACTGCATGGCGAGAGAGACGCGTTGGGAAAATCGCTACGCCCTCCGCGTCTCTCCCGACCTCGTGGTCCATCTCTCGATGCACGGACCTGCGCTCTTCGGGCGGTGTCACACGGCGCTTCCCGGCGACGTCGCCGTCGTCGCCGGGAAGCGCCGGCGCTAAAACTTTCTAGATGTGTATTAAATTAGTGCGTATAACCATCGCGGTGCGTTACAAAATATTATAAAAAAATAATAAAAAATTGAATCTTCTTCCCATAATATGGTTGTCCTAGGATATCGCGTCAGAATAATCCTCGGATGATTGATGAATTCGATTGAGGAAATACTCACCACACACATACATATCGTGGTTTACTTCATCTTTATTTCGTATTTGTACACGCCCTCAGCATGCCACATACAGTCAATATAATACAATCCAACGCAGCCAAGAGAGAGAAGAGAAGAGAAGGCAGAGAGGAGGAAGCAGAAGAGAGAGGGGGGAGAGAGAGAGACAGACAGAGAAGAGAGGAAAGAGAAGAAGAGAGAAGAGAAGAGGTAGAAGTAAAATACAAAAAATATATATATTTATATATTTTATATATATAATATATATATATATTTATATATGTATACTCTACGCGCGCCGAGAGACATTATTGTTACCACGATGTGTTTTAACGTTGAATATCATATATTAGATGGATAGTAGCTAAGAGTATAATACAAAGAAGAGTGCTGTGTGGGGATACGGTAGGACGCGGATAATTCGAATTGAATGTGATGCGATTGGCGGATCGCGCGAGCGGGCGATCTTGCGTGCTTCTGTGCCGAGATCCTGTCCCTCTGATCACCGTCGTTTTGGTCGAGCAAGAACGATCTCTCGCTCTCGATCAACCAGTATAAATGTGCTAACGGAAAGGGAGCCTCCGAAAAATCGACAATCACAGTTCGGCGCCGTTACACTCATTCGTAATCCACATACGCGCGGAGAAACAGAAGAACAGCGTTTATAGCGTTCAGTCGTACGCGCGAAAACACGCTCGACGAAGACGCAGGAATTTTCTAACCGGCAGCATAAAAAAGGTGCGACCGCGAATTTTCGGGAAATCTTCGAACGATCCGATCACATCGACCTTATCGCACTCCGTGCAAAGTTTCGGTCGGTTAAAGCTCGTTGAAATTTTTTCGGCCGAAAATCGAAAGAAAGTGAAATAAAATAAGCTACATCTTGGTTTTATGTAAAATAAATCACAACGAGCCTTTCACTTCCATCGCAGACACGCATAACGCTGGGAGTGGTGAGATGAAAAATATCCCGCCAGTGGCAACGTTGGACAATTCCGACAGAAATAGGAAAATGAACAAATTTATTTAAATACGAGAGAGACAGAGAGAGAAGGAGGGAGAAACTTAAGTGTAAATATCAATCGTTTGTTCAAAGCGTTTTGACAATACGGCATGTGTCAAACGTTGTCACTGACGGATTAATATTCTTAGATGATAATTTCGTACATACAATCTGCATCTACAACAATGGCCATCAAGTAAAAGACGGTCATTGGGAGAAACAAGTTTCTCGATAAAACGAATAATCATTGCTGGACGTAAAATCGATCGCTACTTTGCGGGTGACCTGATAATCTTTTTTTAACAAACATACTGCTTACACAGCCTACTTAGCTAAGTCTTCTCTCTTGAACTCTTTCGTATGAGGACGCCTTTATGCGATACTAACACGTAGACATAACTGGTAAGCATTTATGGCAGCGTTGTAAGGCCTACTCATGGTAGCGATCATCATAAGGACAAAAAAAAACTTAAAACGCGAAGAAACAACAATAAGATGATAGTTTATGAAAATCAGATTATGTCAAATTTTCTCAAGCCATTTTTCTCGTCGTAATTCTTTTTTACGGCCTAAGATAAATAAAAATCGCTTGAACAATTGACATAAAATGACCTACTAACAATACAGCGTAAATGAATAATAAACATAACTCAACTAAAAATAAAATCGATACATATCGTATAGTCTGACTTATTCCTCATCTAAGAGAGCGGTAGAGAAACAAAATGGAGAAAAAGAAAAGGCGATGGTAGAGCAGAGATTTTTACTTAATATCCACTTTTCTCGATTCTTATCAAGCGTAATTATTCAAAGAAGATCTGAACTTAAAAAAAAACACAAAGAAATAAAATCATAAATTAGCGCAATAATTGTAGTTTTGTAATGTAATTAAGTATCTTTGCCATTTTACATCTCGATTTCTGCCGTTAATTGACTCGTATCCTCGTTTAGAAATTCGCGATAGATTATTTTGCTCCTCTTCTTTTTCACTCTTGCTCTATCACCCTCTTGTGTCTTCCTTTATTCACTATGTACAGGATGGTCCTTGTATTCGGAAGAACGAGATTTTTCTCCGACCATCCCGTAGATGACATTTTCTATATAACTCTCTATTTTTTACGCATGTGTGTGTATGTGTGTGTGTGTGTGTGTGTGTGTGTGTGTGTGTGTGTGTGTGTGTGTGTGTAGAATTTCTTTTTCTCTCTCTATATATAATATATTTTATAAAATACATTAGTTTACAAACAACGTTGGATTAAGTGTCGACGCCCTGCGTGGGAGTCATCGCAGCTCAGACTCGATCGTGGAAATCAAGTGCAGTGAGTTCGGGAAATATTGTGTTATAACGTAAGTTAAGTTTGGAAGAACGGCAGTACTCAAATTCCGCATAATATATATAATATATATAATCCGGTTGTCGCTATTTGAACGCGTCGCGCGTTCAAAGATCAAGAAACTCTCATACCTTCTCGTCTGATAAATTCCGTCTAGATCGATTGTCGAGTCGTTCCACGTCAACCATTGTCTCGAATAATTGAAACTTTTATAAAAGGCGCTTTCATATCTTAATGTCTCCTTTTCTTATCCGAACTGTCAAATCACTTTCTACAATTTGGCAATTGGTACGCGGACAATTTAACGACATGTTAACGTAGAACGACTCAGTTATTATTTCTAAGTTAATGACGTAATGCGATATTTTTTAAGGCGCAATGTAGAAAGATTGAAGTGTCTTTCGTGGATGTACGTATAGTGAAGATGATAGAGTTCTAAAATAGTATTGTTTCTCGACGATTTTCAAGTGGGTTTTACACACAACTAGAAATTAATTATATATATTTTTAAACACTATCATATACGTCGTGTACGGTTTCTGAAACATTGTAACGGCTTACTTGCAATTTTTGCGCAACAAGCGAAAACTACACAAAACGATAAAAGCTCTCAATAAATTTTTAACGGCAATATTGCCTATAGTCTATGTCTATCATCTTTTCCAATGATGAACGATGTGACCACGGGAAGGGAAAGGAATTCTTTTTCTCTTTGTAATAAGATCGTTTAACGGAGCTGTGCGACCAGTTGGCAAAGACGTCGATCAGAACAATAAGACTATTTTATCGCGCTACATACATATTTACAATTTCTCTAGCATCGCGCTAGAGCTCTTTCGCGTCCGAAACGTGCACTAGCGTAGGAAGCCACGGGAAGAAATCTACTCAGAGAACACAATCCTTTTTTCGTTTTGTTCGATTGCTAAGGAACCTTCTTTCTTCAGAACGTATTATTAATCTTTTCGCTATCGCGGGTTTAGCCGCCTGACTGTTTTTGTTGAACCGACTGTGAGTCGCCATTCATAATTAAATCTATCAGCTATGTTTCTTTCTCTCGTCCAATCTCTATGGGCCTTGTATTACTTATTCGCAGTTACTTTACTTGATCTAATCTTTTCAACGACTTTTCATGTCGAGCGACTTAGTCGTATGTGGTATGTGAAGAATATTTAGTGCCCAGCGACACTAATCGCCCGTGGTAGCGAAAGGATTAAATAAATATTCTGACTGTAAAAACATTAATATAAGTGCGATTTTTAAAGCTTCATAGTAACTTCAAACATTTTTCTTTATATAAATTACGTTTGTATGCTCGATATATCTCGCTAGTGCATGCTGCGGACATGTTGAGGCAAGACCAAGTTATCGAATACTTTTCATCTATCCGCTTTGCCGAGTCTGTACAATTTTGTTTTGTTGTTGCACCGCCAAAGTGATGCTCACGCCGAACATGAAGAAGGTTCAAAAGGAATCTCTTAGGCTATCGCGTAATGGAGGTTTCGATTCAGCCTTCTCGCAAACGCATTGCCGTCTATTTTCCGCCTTTCTCTACTCGTAACTGATTGCCATAAGATCATTAATACGTTATCTTTTCTTTTTCAAGATAAGGCTTATAACTATTAAACCGGATACTCTCCTCTACATTTTTTCTATAATTAATCTATTAATAATGAAGAATGTTTTAACATCTAATAAAAAATAAAGAAGCGGCCGACAGTTTTTTTAGTTTATCTAATAAACTTTATGAGAGAGATCCACGCTCGGACACGAACAATGGACTGACAAGAAGAATAAACTTTAAAAATAATATACTTTCAGCAATAAGCTGCTCTTAAGTCTTACTTTAGTTTTTTCCTAATATAAAATATAATTTCATATCTTTCAAATGTGATTCTTACCTACAAAGATTGTACAGCTACAATTATTTAAAATGAAAAAGTTTAAAAAATTGAGGGACATACAACAATTTTATGAATCGAATTACGTTTGAAACAAATTGGGCAATGAATCGACATGGAGAAGCGTGTAAATGTAGGACAGTTCAATTGAAAAGTTCAAACAAGGATCAATGACAATTACACGAGTAGGAACTGCAAGAATACTGGCACAATGTTTCGCGTGTATCTGCCGTCATCTATGTATTTTTATCCTACGGAGAGGTAGGCAGGTGAAAATGGGGCGGTTCAATAGACTACTTCGTAAAACTTCGATAGACTTCGTTGTAGTACGGCCTTCATAAATCAGCGAGGAAAAGGAAGAGCGGGGAGGGAATAGGATGATGGGGTAACAAACGCATTTCCCTCGCACCTTCACGTTCACGTTCGGAATTGCCGCTCATCGACGACATGCTCGGCTCAGTATTGATTAGTAAATTAATAATCGAGAGAAGTAACGAACGATTTTACAACGTCAGGATATTCTGGGACCACAGTCTCTTGCGGACCTTTGTTCTCTCGCGTCCCTACGTATCCCTAAAACAAAAAAAGCATATTGTTTCTCTCTTTTCATAAGCCGCAAAGGTGAATATGCTCAAGAGAACGTTACCTTAAAATAACCTTCTCCATTAGCATAGATAGGCGTCCTTCGGAATGATTGGGCGGAAGTAGGGATTTAATCAGTTCGCGAATAAGGGACTCCGTCATGCCTGGTGACGTACGTTCCGCCGACTCGAAGGCATTCCGCAATTCTTCTACAGCACCGCCATTCTTGCCACCACTACCACCCTCGCCATTATTGTCTCTCGCTGAATATTGGTGCTTTCGTTGGAGCTGCAACATTATCGGAAATTAGTCTCATAAATTATTAATTTTGACTTTTTATAATTTTTATATATTTTTATTTGATAGTACTTCGGAAAGGAGAGGAAAAACAACTCCGGACAAGGCGACGCTTCGCGGATGTTTAAGCTCCTGTGAACTTCTGGGCCTCTGCTTATCTTCGCCAGGTCTGAGATCGGCCATCGGAGTGATGGGTACGTCCGGCTTACTGTTTCTCCTCTTTTCCCGTGTGTTAAAATCCCTGCTGGCTCTATCTCGATCTCTGCCTTCCCTATCCCGTTCTCGTTCCCTGACAACTTCCCTGTCCCTCTCGCGACTATCGCGCATCTCCTTCGATTCTCTGAGCGTGGATTCTCGGCTAGAGTCGCGATAATCTCGCTCCTCTCGTTTTTCTCTCGTATCCACCGGTGGTGGAGGTGCGGCTTCATGTGGTCGGGACTGTAGAAAAAAGAAAAATACAAAGTAAGAAAAAGACGTACATATATGAATATGAAATGTCACGATAATCAATCGTTAAAATGACAACATACAGGTGCGTGTTTCGTTGTTTGACCGTCGCGCAACGAGTCCCTGGATTCGCTTCTGTAATGATTAAGCGTGGAATCCTTCGGTGGTGATCGTGAGGCGCCATTTGCGTGCGGTTTATTCGATTGGTTGTGATTGGAGGACCTATGGTTCGTATGTGTTAAAGTCAGGGATGCGGGTTGCTCGTCCAGTGACAACATAGGCATCACGGATCCTTTGACCCCATGCGGGCCTTTCACCGTCATTATCCATGGCTCGTCCATGTCGCTGTCTTGCTTGGATTCCTCCCTGAACACCGTATAATGTAGTGTGTTACAATTTAGTATCGTGCTCGGATGGTGGTCTATTATACCGCGCGATTGATAAACGGCCTCGAACTGGTTTTCCTTTCTTCTTGCACGTTCAATATAAATTTATTGTAAAATTAACGACGGGAAAAAAATCCCGAGTGTGTACGTAACGTACGAAAATAATAAACATCGGCTTTTACTTTCGCAAGAAGCGCGACAGTAACGCGAATCGAGATACTCACGAGTCCGAATTCTCGCTCTCGGTCTCCGATTCCTCGCTGCGCTGCGACTTCCACTTTTTGTACCTGTCGATCAAGTCGATCAGGTATGAGTTCTTCTTTGCCTTCCTGATAAACTGGAACTTTAACAGCTCCTTCGCCGTCGGCCTCTGCATAGATACAAGCGCAATGACCGATAAATAAAAATTAACCGCACATTTCATACGTCAAAATTTATATTTCAACTTATTGTTATTTTTTTATCTCTCTAAATCTTTTCGTTATTGAGACATCAAAACGGTAAAATAAAATAATGTCGAGAACATCCCCGGACTTATGAGACAAAACTGACCGATGACTCGGAATACAGATAGCCATGAATATAACGGTATACTCACATTTTCAGGGTCTTTGTTGAGGCAGGCTTCGACAAACTCCTTGAACTGCTTTGTATAATTCCCGGTCAATTGCGGCGGATTGTTCTTGGGTATTAGGAAGAGGACCCTCATGGGATGCAGCTCGCTGTTGGGTGGCTCTCCTTTCGCGAGTTCGATCGCCGTGATGCCCAGAGACCAAATGTCAGCCTGCGGATCAAGCGTTCACGGAATTTACTACTTGCCAGCTGAAGCGCTAACGATACGCTAATGAAAACCTGACCGTGCCACTCTGGAAGACGACACAAAGTGTCCAACTAGCAGAAAGAAAAAAAGTGAAGAGAAAAATGTGACGCACGCGAGTGAGTTTTAAGGACATTAATAAAGAATTAATTTTTTTTTTATACACCCAAATAATAATTTTATTGTATGTTCAGAAAGTCGGGAAATAAATGAAGATATTTTCGTGTATTTCGTGCATTTCGCATGCGTATTTATATTATAGCTCTTATAAACTTAATTTATAAGCAATGTACAGACGCATACCGCAGTATATAGCGAAATTTAATTAACGCAATTACCTTGGAATCGTAAGCGGACTGTTTGATGACTTCGGGCGCCATCCAGAACGGCGTGCCGACGAAGGTATTCCGTTTACTAGTGGTGTTCGTCAATTGGCCGGCAACACCAAAGTCGGCCAATTTGACATCACCCATTTCACTCAGCAAAACATTCGCCGCTGCGAAATCGACAAGAGGTTCATCATGCAAATTAATTTTCAGTATTTGTAAAATGATATGGATGTACAGTAAATAGAATAACGCGTTCTCTAACAGCGAGCGATAATGTAATTTTCCATTTATCTCGGCGATAATCGACAATCGAACATTTAACCTTATTTCTTTAACGAAGTTTCAATTAACGCGGTTAACGCAGTTAATTCATGTGGATTTTATAGCTAGGTGAAACATCGATTAGTACGATATTTGGTGTCTCGCTGAATCGTCTCGCACGATATCTCCTCTACGGAGAGCGTTAAAGCACCGATAAACACCTTTCGCGTCTTATCGAGCGGACGTACCTTTAATATCGCGATGGAGCTTACGCTCACTGTGCAGATAATCTAGCCCTTTGAGCACCTCGCGTAATATCACGGCGATGTGCATCTCCTCGAAGCTACCGGCCTTCATCAAGTCCAGGGCCGAGCCGCCACCCAGATATTCCATGATGATCCACAGCTTCGTACCCTGCCGAGCGAAACGAGCACGGGTGAGACGGGTTGAGAACCGTCGGGAGAACGTAGGAGACGCGTAACAGACGGACTCTCCGGTGATTCCGGTGATAAAGAGATCCGGAGAGCGAGATCTCGGGCGGGCGCCAATTAACGAAAATAGATCGTTCCGCCGAAACGATCGTTATTCCGGCTCGTGGAGACCTTGAGACGCGATTAAAAAGAAAATATGCGCCGGAAATATTAAGCTTCTGCCGCGTCATCGATATTCCCGAGGAACTTTCAGCTCAATTCACGCGGACGGGAGCAACATCTCGAGTTCGGAGACGATCGATAATATAACGAAACGATCATCTCGGTGATTTATCGGCACGCGTGATTTCTCCGATAGATCAAGATAAAAACTTTTACTTATACCTCCCACATTTTTCTCCACTTGGAAGGCAACGATCGCGTGACCGTGTATTATATTACATCGTCTCAGTCGCACTCCTCGTTCCGTGCGAGAGACCGTCAAGTGGCGATCAACGACACGGAGCAACATCCTCGCCAAGGGGGTGAGGCGACTTTTCCTCGACGCGGACGAACACGGCGATATGATTAATCCCGCGGTGTTGTTCCGGTAATGAAGATTTATCGCGCCCCCTTGAACAGTCGTAAATTATCGTCTAATGCGAGCCCGTTAAGGAAAAACGCGCGTCCGCCGCCGCTTCCTGCGCCGGCCTATTAATTTTCCACGAGCGCAACGCGCGCACGTTACTCCAAGGCAACGCGCGTCATCGCTGACCGGATCCTCCGCTCCTCTCCATGGCGGTAATTATATCCGACATCGATGACCAATCACTGTGCGATTTATCGGATAAATTATACGGCGCGCGTTAATAGTGGTGGTGATGGTGGTGATGGTGGTGGTGGTGGTGCGCCACGTAAGGATACGATAAAACCGATGAGTTATCGCGCGTTAATAATCAGCGCGACCCGAGCTAGTGATCCGCGCGAGGATACTGGGAGATTTACGCCCTTCGTTCAATCGATTATAAAGAAATAATTAATTGATCCCTCCCCCTATCTCCCTTTCCCTTCCGTCCCTCCAGGTCACTCGGCCGACCCCGCAGAGACGCGTCGCGGCCTTGCAATTACGCATCACCGTGTGTATTACACGTCACTCTTCTTGCCGCCAGATGTTGCCAGCAAAGGTACGATGCGCTATGAAAAATAAGACAATCCCCTCCGTGTTGCAACCACTTGCATTTTAAGAGAACTCGGTAAACGATTGTAAAGCTTACGCTGAGAATGTTTTAATTCCGTGCTGCACAATATTCTCTCTAACAAAAGCTCGGAATAAGATGTCAAACGTATTCACATAAAAAAAAAAAAGAGAGAGAGAGATTTGTCGTCTTTTGTTATAGAAGGAGATTGGATAAACGACGGAGAACATGGCCTCATGGAATGTATATGTCCTGTTAGTATTTTTCATATCCATCTCGAAGCTCGAGGCTCTCCATAAGTCTTGGCTCTAACTTTCGTTCGACGTTCATGCGGTTGATGCGCGCCATCGTTTTATGGCGAATAATTTTCGTAGTTTAAGCGGGTTGACCGCGACGGACTGGGGGCATTCGCCGGGATGGCGAGCATTGGCTGCCCATAAAATGGCACCATTTATCATCGTCGTATGGTTAGGAGGCTTGCTCGGAGCGCGCCACGCTTTTTTCCGTCTAGATCCTCTCGAGGTAGGTGGCCGTCGTCGTCGTCGTCGTCGTCATCGAGAGAGGGTTCGTTCAATTCGATTTCGATCAGCTACTACGAATTCTCACGGAAGAAGGGGGGGGCTGTGTCACCCCCTTCTTATCTTCCTGCGTCAAGAGATACGAGACGAATGACAGACGATTTACCGATCTGTTCCGAGAGCGTTATCAGAAATATCGATTCGGAGATAATCGCAAAATCGAGTCTGAAGAGATAGAGAGATAGAGAGAGGGAGTAATAAGAAAGGAAATCACAAGGTTAATCTCTAATCGATCGGGGGTTAATGGAGCCGCGAAAACAGATGATTTGGTTAGATCACAATCAAGAGTCACCAAGTCGATCGACTTGCCAAATGCATTCGACCGCTTAATTTCTTGGCTCTCTTTCTCGTTGCTTCTTTTTCTGATTTCAAGAAATTAAAATATAATATAATGAAACATAATCTTCAAAGTCACACAGCTGTACTGTAAACTTTTCTCGCGAAAGAGATGAACTTTAAGGAGTCGCTTTACGTAACGGGTTACAAGTCCTCGCGTTGCAAGAGAACTATTATTAGTCGACTAATTTCCTAATGGTTTGGATCTCTCGTTCGACACGAGCCGAGAATAGACTTCGCCCCTCACGTAGTCGGCGATTATTTTTCGCTCCCCTTCCACCTCGCCCCCGCCTCCGTTCGCGGCAATTATGGTTAATTGACGGAGTCCGGTAATCGGTTGCTTTCACTCTCGGCGAGTGATGACAGAGGCGCTTAATTTCATTTGCTTCGGGGGGGAGGGAGGGGGGGATCCATTCGAATACAATGATATCATCATAATCGTATGCAATAATCACTGTAATTTCAGCACAATAATCGAAAATTGCAATCTTTTCCGTAACAAACCGACATTGGGATCTTCATTTCATACAAAACTTCTAATACAATGTCTGATTCTCTCTTCGTGTTCGAAAACAAAATAACACGTTTGATATAATTAAGAAAAAAAAAAAGGGAAAAAAAAGCAAAACAGGAAACACAACGAAAGCTCCGTGAAATCGAGAGATTTAAACGTCTACTACGTTTATGGGGAGGGGGGGGGGGAGGAAAGAGTCGTCGCTCGCACGAATGCAGTTAAGCTGATTTACTCTCGCGAGCAACTTGCGATTTATCGATGTTTAATTCGGCGTTTTAGTCGCGCGACGGGCGGAAGGACGCGGGACTGGTCCGGAGGGACGGTAAAGCGAAGATTAATTCCGTCGCGTCGTCCGTCAATGCCAGCGGCACTCCTGCCATTTCGCGAAACGGAGGAACAAAAGGACAAAGGGCCAGGCGCCCCTTCAAAAAAGCAACCGAGAAATCGACCGGCCTATTAATCACCCATATCGCCCATGCGCTCTCCTGTCTCCATTTTGCGTGCCGCGTTGCATTTCGGTGGGACGCGGGCCTCATGTAAAACGCGTTGCGTTAAAGTCTCCACTTTAGACTTTAATTCAGATTCTATTATTTACTCCGTCGTGTGTTCGGAATCCTCTTTGAATTTTAAATTCGATCGTTCGACATATTATGTCTCACAGGGAGGACGACGACGACGACGACGACGACGACGACGACACAACTTTCAGGATAAAGCACAACATCACGTGCATCGCAACGTAAGGTCGCAAAGAGTTAAAGCCTCCGCATTCGACCCGCCATTATCGGAGAATGCGTTTTCCAACGTCGATCGAGAGGCTCGCTGACCGTAAATCCCGGCTACAAAGTGGAGGCAGAATGGCAGAATCGCGGTGATTTCTGCGGAAAATTGACACGCGACCTACTTGACGTGACGTTCCTCGGACGCTTCGCTCTGGACCATCTGCGATCGCGAATTAGACGCAAATTGAGATTCTAAAAAATCTCGACGCACGTTGCGTCGGACACGCTTTGTCCGCTTTGAATCAAGAAACGACGAGCGCGTCGTACAGCTGTCTTTGCTCCTCGATTCGACGACGCAATGGAAAAAACGGAAGATACCGTAATTTCATTAAGAGGAAAGATCTCGCCGAGGCGAGTGCGCACAATTATACGTCATTCATAAAATCTCGGTCGCGCCGCTCCTCTTCGGACGCGGAACGCGGGCGTTGTCTTTTGTTTGAGGCACAATGAACCGCGAGTATAATAGGGTAAAAGAGGAAAAGCGTGGCGGGTTCTTGCCGTACCGATCAAATATTACGCCACGGTGAAAATTCCCCATTTCACAAAAATGCTTCTGCTAATTATCGCAATATGCCTCCGGGATTCTGGGGCCTTATTAAAACGCGTTGCGCAACGGTTTTACATAACGTTCAAGCCTGCACTCAAGCCCGTAACGATTTTAATAATGAAAATTGGCGCTGGGACACCAAGAGCGTAGCCATCGATAAACAAAAAGTAATATGGACTACACGCTCGTTTTATTAATCTGATGGCTTCGAAACGGCATTTTTAGAATACCGATAATGAAGCGATATTTCTGGCCGTACGCAAGCGGCCAGAGAGAAAACGAGAGAAGAATCACAACGGGTCGCCCTCGTAATCGGCGATACATCCGGATTGAGAAATCCGTAGGAGTGCCGCTGTGTCTTGCGAGAGTCGTCTCGTTCGTCTAGCTTAGTCAACGTACGTCTACGCATTTTTATACATCGTTTCAAAGATTTTACGCGAAATACCACGTAATAAATGCGACTAACTTATTTTTTCTGTTACATCTTGCAAACGAACGTGATTGTCGAGTGGGAACTGGAGTTTCCCACGAGTCTCGAATGTCTCGCGAGATACAGTGAGATGTTTTTAGCTTGGCGTTCCACGTTGTAACACGGTGTATTTGCGAAGGTTGGTGAATCTTTTTGGACCACGAAGACTCGCGGCACTGTGGCATTGTGGAATCAGATGTAAAGGATCTTTATCTAGGCACCAGGCCGCTGGTGCGCAAGCTATTCCCGCGAACTAAGGAGTGCCGTCGCTCAATAACTGTTGTTGACCAACTTGGTTCTGGCTTAATAACAATTTCCGAAAGCAAGGAAGCCGCGGCGAGAGAGGCGGCCTGTGGCGAGATGGCCGCGGCACATCCGTTACACGATGACATCAGGCGCGTAGACGGGCGCGTAGGCACCCGCGCGCCTCCTGTCATCTCCGCACAATAACCGTCGATGTGTCATTGCGGAAATATGCCATTGTTTCTCTCGCGCCGAGGAACGGGAAAATTTCGACCGGTGAGAGCCGACCGTGGAAACTCTCCGCGTCGAGGCTTGCGGAGAGACGAGGAAATAGAGACGCGGAATTTCGCCTGGCTTTTGACATTCGCCGCAACAATGTATGCTCCCTCCACCGTCGCTCGACTAGATTTTACCTCGCGTACACGCGAATCAAATCGTTTATCTCGTTTTTATGATAAATAGGGCTCCTCATTGGCCAATCGTCTCGTATTTGTATTAATTACGTGCCAATTATGTACACCTCCTTGAATCGACGGCTCGTCGCATCATTTGTAACGCTTCGCGTCGTTTCGCAATATCAATCTGGCGGGCTTGATAATTACGATCGTTTAGCGCTTGTACAATTATCTATGCGAGCGCGTGAGCGGGAACGCCCGCGCCTCTCGCGTTTCGAGTCGCGGACGTCGCGGCGCAAATTGGAGAGAGAGCGTATTTCGACCCACGAGTACTCACGCTCACGGGAGCGACTAACTAACGATCGTTAATGATCGTTTCGCGCGGTCATTAAGGAAACTTTCCTTGGCCGGGCCGCGATATCGGGCGCCGTTTCATTTCATAAGTAATCACACTGGGAGCTTCCACTGTTCTTGGCTACGAAAACGAAGGGGAGGAGGTCAGTAGGAGGGCGCGTAGAAATAATCCGCTCGTAGAAATAATTCTCGCCTCGGCTTCTTCTCCTTTTGCTGCAATTAATAGTTCCTCAACAATCTTCGATAACGATCGCGTGGATTTACTTTATCTTATTCCGTTAACAGGATCGCGAGGTTTATGATTTATTCGCCGTCACTGCGACATCTGGCTGAGTAATTAATTGTGACTGCTATTATGGAGCACTAGAGAAAAATAGCGGCATAATTGACAATTTTTAAGATACATTATAAACGTTATGGATGTCTACGAAAAAAATAGATTTCGCAAATGTATGAATGTTTGTCGGGCAAATCTAAATTGAATTTTATAAAAAAAAGGAAGAAAACAAAGATAACGTTTATTAACTTGCTTGTAAAATTTATAAAGAGATTTATAAGTGAATGGAGAATAACTCAGAATCAGAAATATTTCGCCAATATTATTAAACCAACTTGCCAGAAACTTGCTGTGTGATAGAAAGAAAAATTTAACTCCGTTTAAATCGCCGAAGATTTTGGTATTCGTTTCAGAATGCGGACGATGCTTGTTCCTCCTGTCGCTTCTCCTCCTCCTCCT